GATGAACGCCTTCCAGTGTGTGCCTCATCAAAGCTTCAACAGGAAGTAGTACAGGAAACCAAATGTTCAGGCATAAATAACCTGCCGTCCCTGCTGGTGTGAATTATGCCTGCCACTAAGTTAAGTGAGAGCTGAGAACATGTTTCCTTTCTGGAAAACATGTTCACTGGCGGTAGTGACACTTCAGAAAGGAAAATTGCTGAAGCAGCCAAACTCCCTGAGGACATGTGGTCTGAAGAATTTCTTTGTAGTGAAACCAAAAGAAATTTTGAAGGCCCAGATCAGAGAGAAGAAAGCTGTGTTTCCCTTGAACTACAGGCTGCCCTTTGCTGGCTGAGATTCTTCAGCATTCAAGGGAGGTGGGATTGTGAATGAATGACCCCAAGCAAGCTATCTAATGAGAAAGGAAGGAGGCTGGAGTGGAACAGAATTGTTGCACAGGGCTCCAGAAAGGTGAAGTAACAGCATCTGAACACTAGATGGCAGCACTCATACACACATTATGTGCGGGAGTTGGGGGGGGGCGGCGCCAGTCCTCTTTCTGGTCAGGGAAACAAGTGGACACTGAAGACAGTGCTGTTCTAGAGCATTTACTTTTTACTTTTCCTCTTTTCTTGTGAGAGGTTATGATGTCACAGGTGAGACAAGAGAACTTCCTGCTTCCAGATGCTTAAAAAACAGTAGGAAGTCATAAAAAATGAGCGTTGGTGTCAGGGTGTTTGATGATGAACCTAAACTAAATCTATGGGCTGTGTCCACTAAACTAGGGGTCTCCACACTTTCTCTGTGAAGAGCCAGCTAGTAAGTACTGTCAGTTTCCAGCCTTACGATTCTGTGACAATCACCCAACTCAACCACTGTAGCACAAAAGGGGCTGCAGACAGGTCGGAAATTTGTGGGTGTGGCTGTGTCCCAGTAGAACCTCTGACCGAAACGGGTGCTGGGCCGACTCTGGCCCCTGGACCGCAGGCGGCTGGCCCCTAAACTAAATGAACAGGACAGTCTACCTGGCTCAGCCGGCTTGGTCCACGTGGACCCTAGGCACCTGCTGGTAACACTTTTCTTCTTCCAAATCCAGACAAATCCTTTTCCCCTCCCCTCTCAGCCACTCCCACACAACGTCCTAAGATTATCTATGTCTCCTGGGTGCCTGAACTTGAATTCTCCCTTCTCCCTTCTGCACAGCAAAATAAGCTGACAAATGCTGTCCGTTGGTTCAGCATTTAAAACCTCTTCCTGCCATCAGGCCTTCCTCGTTTCCACCATCGTCACATCCCTGTCTTCCTACAGCAGCTAGAACACAGAGCTGCAGGCGGTCAACAAACACCGGTTCCACTGCTGAGTTTTTCACTCTGGCACATCCGCCCCCACCTCCCACTCCATGGGAGCTGGGTTAGTGCTTCAACCATCTCTCGGGCTTTGTCATTTCCTGCATCGGCACCATCACCGTGGCCAACCCATCACCTGCCTTCCCTTCCACAAAGCACCCTGGGAACTGCCTCGGTGACATGTCTGTGCATCGGCCCTGAAAATGCCTTAGGGCCCACTCTGCTCACTGCGTTACCTGCCCTTATCATCTCCACCCATCCGAGCGGACTGACCCTGCACTCGGACGAAATACGCCCACTCTGTGACAATGAGGGAAGAGCGTGCCCTTCATCCACTGGTTTCTTAGTCTAGTTTGTATGCTGCCCTTGGAGGGCATGGTGTGCCCATCTCCTGGTGCTCACGGGTTCAGCCACGCACTGACAAATTATTCAGGCTACTTCGTGTCGACTTTCAATGACATCGCATTGAGGTTGGAGACTGGGGTCTGAACTGTCGTGATTTGGGGCTAGTCTGGCCTGTGCGGCTGTAATCAATTTAAAAACAGCATATGTGTGCTTGAAAGGAAGGAAAGCTTCCCAGCTGCTGGGTTGGGGATCCATCGACGTCCATTAAGCACATTTTGTAAGTTTCTTATGTTTGATCGGTGCCAGAAACAGCGAAGGTGCCCGCCCACCAGGATGGAGGCTTCGCCTGGTTTTCCCTGCGATCCGACAGCTCTTCTCAATCGGTGCGACGCTGGCGTTGCCGGGTGCACACAAAGGCAACTGACCTTTATTCTTTACACGGCCTCCCACCTCCATGTCTGATGTGTCTGGCGCTGAAACTGTAAAGCTGCGTCCACCTCGGGTCCTTCTCTGTTCCTGTATTTTCAACCTTTCCACGTCATGTTTGAGGTTTGCCACTTCATAATCCCACAGAAAGATGTGTTTGATCACCTGATGACTTTGTTTCTGCACCCCTCCCCCCAACAATCAGTCTGCCCTCCTCTCTTTTCTCCCCCCCCCAGCCCCCCTGCTCCCCATCCTCCCACTAACCCAAGTCTGCAACTTGGGCTCAGGCCAAGAGATCTAACCAGTCCTGATGGGGGGCTGTCCTGCGTTCACCCTATCAGTCAAGAGTAAGATCACAGGCATTATTCACAAAGGAAGACCCCAAACCACGCACTAGATGCCGATTTGTAAGTGAAGACAATGGGTTGAAGGGCAGGGTCTGCTTGAGGGGGAGATCTCTTTGCTTTCCTGTGGCTTGGGTTTCAGGAAGCCCCTCCCCCACCTCAGGACACTCTGGACACAGCTACACTGATGCCTCGGGCTGCATGGGCTGGGGGTGGAACGTGGGGACGTGAAAAGCTCCCGGTGAGCTGCTCAGTAGAGGCCTCCGCGAGGCTGCCATATAGAGCCCACGGTCCCAGCCCACTACCAGCTCCACCGTCCTAAGTGATCGTGTAACTCAGGGAGAGCCAAGGGGAGGGCGGAGCTGGGCTGGAAAGGCTTCTACTCCTCTTTCCTTACAAACAGTTATAATGATGGGCGGAAAGAGCAGGTGACAGAATAGAGGGACATCTGAGTTGGCATCGTGAGGTTCCGGGGATGTGGTGCCACCAGAAAGCCAGGCCTGGGAGCACGATCCCCGGGGCACAGGCCTTCCACAGGCCTGCGGTGCCCGCGCTCTGGGAGGACCTGGCCTTCGAACGCATGGGGTTAGCCCCGCCCATCTCCTCAGCCCGCTGCATGCTGCCCAGCTCTGAAGTTTCCCATGTTCTCACCAAAGCCAAGATCGAAACGGTTGTGCCCAGGGACAAAGGGCCACTCTCCCCACCCTACACCTGGTGCTGGAAATGCAGCCTGCAGGGCGCTGTGAGGCAGGACCAGCCCTTGACTGTGGCAACATTTCTCACGTTTTAAAGGCCCCTCCCCTCCTCCCGTCTCATCAGATTTTGACGCGGGCCTGGCAGTGCAGGGAGGAAATGCCATGGGAGTCTGACAGGTGGGAATAAGAAGGGACAACTTCAACCTAGAACGTGCACACGCATGTTGGTGGCTTCCTGGAGCCGACACGTCCCTTAACACGTAGCACTGGCATCCAGGGACCGGCAGTGATACACTGACCACACAGGGGCCTCACATCAGCTGAGGGGATCCACACAACGAGGTGATGAAGCACACGGAGGCCCCGCGCAGGTGCAGTGCCCAGGAAGGGTGGAGAGGGGTTTCGTGAGCAATCAGTTCCTGACCACCATGGTCAACAGACACAGGGCTGATCGTTAGCCGGGGTGTGTCTTAGAGAAAAAAGGATACTTGGAGAACGCACCAGTGAGAAGACAAGGGAATAAGCCAGAAGCGGGCGTCAGAAACTGGTGGCCCTGGGCCATCGCTCTGACGTGATTCATGGTTTTAAAGCGACTGTGATTTCAGAGCCATTAGATCATGCATGGGCTGTCTATGTGAGGTTCACCTCTGTCCTCACAGTCCCCAACTGTCTCCCCCAGGTGTCTCCACTACTTTTTGTGGCCCCTTAGTCCCCAGAAGACATCCAAGTTCATCACACTTGGATGGAAGGCTCAGCCCTGGCCCCTTCAGCCCAGACACTGCAGTGTTCATGGTTTTGTGGGCACAGGTGGACCGGTCGAGCTCATCCCTATGAAGGCTAAAGGGTACGTGCCCTTCATAATCTCCAGGTGGTTGGACACTGGCCATATCAGACCCCAGTTTATTGCAAAGGAGGGAGAAGTAAGGAAGATCTGACAAGGCCCGGTGACCACCTAAGGAAGATGAGGGAAAACGAGGAGACAAGGATGACAGAGTTTGGCTCCATCGCCTGGGTGCAAGGTGATGATGGGGAACCCTGGGGGAGGGGCAGGCTTTGCGCGACAGCAGACAGAGACAGTAGCTCAACTTTGGAAATTCTGAGTGTGAGGATACTGTGGAACGTCCAAGTATCTGGAAGGAGTAAGTTTAGAAGAAAAATCTAGGTTGAAGATGAACTTGGGCACCATCGGCAAATAAATGGAATATAAAGTCATGGAGGGGGATGAAGTGGGGAGAATGGACGCCCCAGAGATAGGTCTTTGGGCAGCATCAATGCTTCCAAGAGGGCTATGGGATGAAAACCCCCCAGAAAAGCATGTAAGTGGGGAGCAGGGGGACAGCCAGGAGGGGCCAGTGTCGTGACAGAGAAAGAGGGCTTCAAAGAGGACAGAGCCACTGGGGCATCGCCTGCTGCCTGGTATGTGTTTTTGTCTTTAGGTTTTTTTTTTCTCGGTGGGGGCGTTACACTGGGTGCTAAAGTTGTCTAGGTTCCAAGTGTACAGTTCTGATACGGCATCTGTAATTGCATTGTGTGTTCACCACCCAAAGTCAAATCTCCTTCCAACACCATGTATTTGATCCCTTTCACTGAACCTTTACTACCCGCCTCTGTCTTTACACATTTAAAGAGTTTAGACGACAGCATGCAATGACGTCCACGCAGTGTTTTCTAGGTGGTTACCCCTTAGAGGGTGCAGACCTGCTCGTTTGATGGAGCGCCTCTCTCGGGTGAGCTTCACCTGACCTCACCCCACCTTCGCCAGTCTTGGCCCCGTGCGGCTGGGGTGCTCATCCAGGTCACGGGCATTTCCAGAGCACCTTGGGGCGCAGGGCCCCGTGCTAGGGCAGCAGGTGCTGGCTTACCTGGCACTCTCAAAGGTGGCGGACGCCGTCTTTTCTACAGCTCCAAACCCCACTCCGACGGCAAGCCCCTCTGAAACACACATACAAAAAAGCATGACGGGTTAGGAATAATTTCCCAATGGTGCTCATCGCCACTGCTGTGTGAGGTGAGGTTGCAGCAGAACCAAAACTCTAGGGCTTAGCAGACTCTGGCCTAAAGACCAAATCTGGCTGTCTTAAAAAAAAATGTTTTTAATTATTTGTTTTTTAAACTGTAATTTTTTTAAATATTTGACTGTTTATTTTTGTATGGCTTACAAGCTGAAATTTAAAAACTTTTTTGACCTCTTATTTTTGTATCGCTTGCAAGCCAAGAACAATTTTTTACATGTTTAAGTAGCTGGAAAAAAACAAAGGAAGAGTATTTCATGACCTTTAAAACTACATACATTTAGTGTGCATAAATAAGGCTTTATTAGCACACAGCCATGCTCACTGCTGATGAGCCCTCTGTGGCTGGTTCTGTGCAGCTGTGAGAGAGACCGTATGGACCGAAAACCTGAAGTGTTCACCATCCGGCCCTTTAGAGAAAGCGTTTGATAAGCCCTGACCTAAAACATACAGGGTTTTATCCGCCCATGAGCAAGAAGTCCAAGGTTGACATATGTCAACCAATAATGTCATTGCGGACATGGGACAAGCCATCATCACGTGGTACAGACTGTTACAGTGGTTATTGTCCAGCTTGAAGCTTGAGGACGGGTGAGACAATTCTCCAAGTCCTGTCTAGTGGACCGGGTGAGCTCGCCAAGTTCACCAGCACGCTGACCCTGAGCAGAGGTGGAAGGGAGACGCTAGTCTACAGCGTCTGATGCAGAGGCAAAGGCTGTGAAAAAGTGGAACTGTCCCAGTGGCCTTGGACCCGTGGGGTAGAAGCATGATGCTGAGACACGTCTTGACATCCAGGGGGGAGTTCAGTCTCCATCCGAAGAGGAAATAAAATTACAGCATTGGTCAGGTTCAAGACCAGGAGCTTTGGGGACAAGGAGCAACCTATGTTATGAAGAGGGAAGGGGGCAAAATCTGCTGAGTGAGAGGGGCTTGTCTTCTTTTGGAATTCACCGTCTCTTTGAACTCCGTTTTTATCCTTGCATCCTGTTTAGAGTGGGCCAGGGATACTGGGACTGTACAATAATGATGACTTCAGAAGGCACCCGAGGACAACAGGGCCCTTTGGCCTGACCTGTGTTAAGGTGAACAAGCTCACTCATGATGCGGTCTGGTTCATCCAAAGACCTGCTAAGCCCTAGAAGCTAAGGCATAAAGTGTTCCCTGTGCTTCAGTCTCCCTGTGGGGACCTTATGGGGTAACTGTGGCCACCAGAGGTTGCTGGTTTAGAATTTGGGGTTCTGGTACCCCACCAAATATCTTTCCTTATTTCTCCCAATGAGCACCATGGAATTCAGAGTCCTAGAATTTTAGAGGTGAAGGAGAGCCCAGAGGTCATGAGGAATGACTTGGGCCACTGACAGACTCAGCAGCCAGTGGCTTGGGCTCTTTCCAAAACCAGACCAGAGCCTCGAGGCTCCTGGACCCAGCGCCCCCGGGCGCGGGACTCACACTGCAGTGGGCTGCAGAGAAGCCCCCGACACACTGCTTCCCACAGCCCTCGGCCGACGTGTCCAGCCGAGGCGTCAGAGCAGCCAGACCCTGCAGAAGTGAAGTTTTAAAGTTTTATTCATTGTTATTTTTAAGGCTCCTGATGTCAATTCTTAATAACGGCTGAGTGTTCGTTCATCAAGTCTTTCCTCTCAGCTGACACTGGGTTCCAAATCTGGCCTTGTATGCAAGATCTCTGTTTCCCTGGGGTCTTTCTCTTGGAAGTCGTGATGGTGGTGGTGGCACAGCGGCCTTTTTTATGTCAGGCCCTGGGCTAGGAGCCTCGAACGTGAACCACAGGTGAAGACTGTCACCTCCACTCCACAGGTCAGAGTGGAAAGGTGACAGGAAGCTCTGAGAGCCTGGGTGGACTGGGATCTGAGGTCCAGGCTCTTCTTCACCCTCCATGGCTGGCTGTTCACTTCCCTTCTCTTCCAGAAATGTCCCCAAGGGTAGAAGTTATGACTCCAGGGAGGGGTTTGGATACATGTTCAGCTTTTTCAGGTTGGCATGATGCCTCTGATGTCGTGTTTCAGAAAGAGGTGGGCAACAACAGTGTCCCAGAGGAGATGCCAGGTATCGGTGAGAGCTGAACGTCAAGGTGGGTTACAACTGGTATATCTACGGCTTTCAGACAAGCCTCCCCCAGGGAGGCAGAGGCACTCTTTCTGCACAGCGCCGGGAGGGCAGGAGCTGCCCACATCCATGGTCATGAGAATGCAGAGTTAGAGGACCTCAGAGACGCCTCTATCTGGCCACCTTGCTGCCTCCGGGGAGTCCAGTGTTTGCAAAGCCACTGTTCTCAAGGTTGTTTAGAACCAGCACAGTGGAAACGGCACCGCACTCTCATCTGTAACTGTGGGTCTCGGGGTGAAAGTGGCCCACTGGGGAGAGGTGTTGAAAGCTAGGGCAGCACTTAGGGGTGTTTCCTGGTGTGAGAAGAACAAGCCCCTCCCTTTGAAAAATCAGGGTTTTTGGCCCTGGCTGGTGTAGCTCAGTGGACTGAGCGCGGGCCTGCAAACCACATGATTGAGGTTTGATTTCGGGTCAGGGCACATGCCTGGGTTGCAGGCCAGTTCCCAGCAGGGGATGCATAAGAGGCAACCATACACTGATATTTCTCTCCTCTCTCCTTCCCTTCCCCTCTAAAGATAAATAAAATCTTTAAAAAATAAGAATACAACATTTAAAAAAAAAGAAAAGAAAAAATCAGGGTTCCCCCCAAAACCATAAACAACAGCTGGTTGGCTCTTTTGTTAAAGATTTTGCTCTATTTAGTGGTATTTTTCCCTTTTAGATAAAAAGCTTATTTTGCCTTTTTCCTAGTGAAAATTAAAGTATAAAAATAAACACAATTTACATTAATGGACATTTCACTTCAAAGTAAATATCAAAAATAATGTATAAAAATAAAAATCCATTAAAAGCACAAAACCACGTCTGGCATTTTTATGAGAAAAGCTGTAAAAGCTGTAAAAGCTGTCTCAGGAGTAGTGGTTATAATGTAAATCAGCAGTCCCCGACCTGTTTGGCACCAGGGACGGGTTTCAGGATGATTCCAGTGTATTGCATTCAAGGTCGCCTCCTGCTGTGTGGCCCGGTTCCCAGCAGGCCCAGCCAGTGCTGGTCTGGGGCCTGGAGGTTGGGGACCCCTGATATAAATGACAGTGCAGCTCAGAGCCACAGGCCCCACAGCAACTCTTGAACTAGCCCTCGCTGGTTATGGAGTGTGCAGCCCAGCACACCGAGTTACACAAATGCTCAAGACAGCCCCGGGACTTTGGGTAGGAAAGAAAGGGCCTGTCCAAACTGGCTCCGTGTCCAGGGGCAGAGCCAGGCCTTGAACCTGTCTCTCCCTCTCCCCCCACCCCAGGTTGCTGACCGTGGCTGTGGTTTTCTCCCAGGTGCAGGCAGCTGGCGCTGGTGTCTGAACCTGTTTCCTGAGGAGGTCGGAACAAAGCCAGTGCACTGTCCCTTGGCCCCGCCCTGGACCTTGGCCATGGCGGTGTGTGCCTTGGCCATCGAGTTTTGTGATGGATGGCAAAGGAGCAGGTTCTTCCTTCCTGCTCTCCTGGGGCTCTAGGGGAGGGAACCAGGACCCCCAACCCCAAAACACGTGCTGCCAAGGGAGGGAGCCGACGCTTCCCTGTGATTTAGAAAGCGGAAGAGGAAGGAGGGGTCGTGGCAAAGAGAATGTTAATTGTTACCATGTCTGAAGGTGGAAAATACCTGAGAGTCAAACTAATGGGAGACCAGGACAAATTCCACATGAGGGAGACAACTGAAATAAGAGAATCCAGACAGATGCTGAAGACCAACAGATGGTTGCAAGAACCCTCTGGGTGGAAAGGGGCAGTGGAAAAACGCCAACTAGCGCTCACACCCCAGGTGTTCCAGCAAAAGTGCAAATTAGGAAGGTAATTATGACAAAATCCAAAGTGAGTGGGATATTATTAATAATCCACAGCCTGTTCACAGCTACAGCCATTAACTCAGGTGCAAAGAGGGGGAAAACAAACCGGGAACCTGGTGTGAGATGCGCAGGGGGGCGAGGCGGAGTCTTGAGGACAAACTCCACGATCAGCTCTAATGCTGAGCTGGCCCAGCCCAGTCTTCTCCTGCAGCTGGGTGTGCCTGCCTCTCTCCACCTCCCTGCCCTTCCAAAGTTTCCCTCTCCCTCAGCCTCCACTGGGGAAAAGCAGAAGGCCTGGGCTCACACCCCGGTATATTATCTAAGGTCCTTATAGACACCTTGGAAGGACGACAGTGCTGCTTACAGAAGGATGTGCTCAGGGAAGGGTTCTCGCTCCGGACATTTGCTGTAAGAGGCCGGCCTGTGCGTGGTAAGATGAGGAACAGCATCCCTGGCCTCTACCCGCTCGATGCTGGTAACACTCCCTCCCCACGAGTTGTGCTAATCAAAAAAACGTCTCTAGACACTAACTACCTAAGGTCCCCTGGAGGAAAAGGTGTCCCAGGTAAAGCACCACTGACTTCCCTTGAAGGGGTACTTAGACCATGATCGTTAAACTATTCTAGAGCACTCTTGGAGTTTAAGCAGGCGGTAGGAAAGTGAAGTTAGAAACTAGTGTCGAAATCCATTTGGGCTGCTGTATATACTGTACACTGGGTGGCTTACATACAGCGGAAGTTTATTTTTCATGGTTCTGGAGGCTGGGAAGTCCAAGACCAAGATGCCAGTGGGTTCAACACCTGCTTCACAGGTGGCTTCACACCTTCCCCCAGTGTCCTCAGGTGGTATAAGGGGGTGGGGAGCTTCCTGGGGCCTCTTTCATCAGGGCACTGATGCCTCTTTCATCAGGGCTCCACCCTTATGACCTCATCTCATCCCAAAGGCCCCACCTCCTAATACCACAGTCTTGGGGGACAGGAGATCAATTATGAATTGGGGGCCAGGGGACACAGACATTC